AATAAATTTTGGAATTTTATTAATAAAAAGAAGGGTAATAACTCGGTATCTAACAATATGAAATACAACAACGTGTCGTTAAGTGATCCTGATACCATCGTAAATTGATTTGCCAAGTACTTTAGCAAATCCTATAATGTATCCTCAAACGCTACTTTACCAATCGACTTTTAATGTAACATAATATTTAACCTCTCTAAATTTAAGGAAGAAGAAATGTTATGGGCTTTAAGGCAGATCTAACCGAAGAAAACCACCGGCCCTGACAATGTACCGGCGTTTATAGTTAGAGACTGTGCTGTAAGTCTTACTGTACCTCTAATGCTTATTTTAAATATGTGCATTAAGCTTCATACTGTACCTAATTTGTGGAAAAGTTTCAAGGTTTGTCCTATATTTAAGAAAGGTGACAAAACTGATATTGCGAATTTTAGACCAATATCGATAATATGCAACTTTAGTAGAGTCTTCAAAATCTTTCTGCACGAACATTTAGAGTATTATATTTCACCCATGATATCATCCCATCAACATGATTTTGTAAAAGGTCGATTTACTGTAACAAATCTGCTCGTTAGGTGCAGACAGCATATCGCAGAAAATATGGACAATCGACTGCAAACTGATGTTGTGTATACATACTTTTCAAAAGCGTTTGACAGACTTGATCATGGGATGTTCTTAAACAAACTTATCGGTTACGGGTTGTCAGAGTCTGTCATAAAACTGTTCTGTTCATATTTGCAAAACCGTCAAAACTGTTTTCTTAAACGGTTTTAAGTCTGTAGAATACTTTGCAACGTCTGGGGTGCTGCAAGGATCTGTCCTTGGCCCTTTGCTTTTTAGTATATTTATTAACGACATCATGGAGGGCATTGATGTAAATTGTCTTTTATATGCGAATGATTTTAAAATTTTCAATTCAATTTCTTCCAATGCTGACTGTGAACGTATGCTTAATAATATATTATGAAAGCAGTCGAAAATTGGTGTCACTTAAACCTTCTCCCTTTAAATGCATCAAAATGTTTTATAATGTCGTTTTCATTAAAACCGGATATTATTTTATTTAACTACGAGATAAACAAGTTATCTCGACAAAGACCTGAACATTTTGTCGATCTTGGTGTAACTTTTGATCCAAAGCTCTCATTTATATTACACATTGAAAAAATTGTATCAGCTGCATTAAAGATGTATAGGTTTGTATTACGTATTAGTAGGGAGTTTTCAGATACAGAAACTCTTAAAATGCTGTATTTTTCATTCGTTCGGTCTAAACTGGAGTATGCTTCCATAATTTGGAACCCCCATTACCAAACAGTGCAGCGGCGATTCTTAAAGTTAATTTGCTTTAAACAAGATGGCGTTTATCCGGAAATAGGTACACCTTATCAATATCTGCTTAACAGACATAACTTTATTGATCTTGAGACAACGCGCAATTGTCATCTAATCATTTTCATAGACAAATTAGTACATAACGTTCCGAGAACTACTGCATAGTCACAGTCTACTTTCTATCTACCATCAGCAAGAACTAATGTTTTAAAATCATCACCACTGTATAATATGTGTACATTATGTAACTTAGTAATACCATAAATATATTTAATTGTGGTGTATATAGCATTAATTCTAAAGTTTTTAAGTCCGTATAGTGTTTACCTATTCTTATGTTTTCGTAATTATTTTTGTCAAAATTTCCTGCTCTGTAATTGGAATTGCCTATTGAGCAGTGTACCAATAAATAAATAAATAAATAAATAAATGACAACATTATGGCAACTCTGTAAGCCTAGTGATTTGACAGGGACAATGAAATATATAGTTATATAGATTGATCATCCATGTTTTTCAAAATAAACAGTTGATTTTAAAATTTTCAATTCAATTTCTTCCAATGCTGACTGTGAACGTATGCTTAATAATATATTATGAAAGCAGTCGAAAATTGGTGTCACTTAAACCTTCTCCCTTTAAATGCATCAAAATGTTTTATAATGTCGTTTTCATTAAAACCGGATATTATTTTATTTAACTACGAGATAAACAAGTTATCTCGACAAAGACCTGAACATTTTGTCGATCTTGGTGTAACTTTTGATCCAAAGCTCTCATTTATATTACACATTGAAAAAATTGTATCAGCTGCATTAAAGATGTATAGGTTTGTATTACGTATTAGTAGGGAGTTTTCAGATACAGAAACTCTTAAAATGCTGTATTTTTCATTCGTTCGGTCTAAACTGGAGTATGCTTCCATAATTTGGAACCCCCATTACCAAACAGTGCAGCGGCGATTCTTAAAGTTAATTTGCTTTAAACAAGATGGCGTTTATCCGGAAATAGGTACACCTTATCAATATCTGCTTAACAGACATAACTTTATTGATCTTGAGACAACGCGCAATTGTCATCTAATCATTTTCATAGACAAATTAGTACATAACGTTCCGAGAACTACTGCATAGTCACAGTCTACTTTCTATCTACCATCAGCAAGAACTAATGTTTTAAAATCATCACCACTGTATAATATGTGTACATTATGTAACTTAGTAATACCATAAATATATTTAATTGTGGTGTATATAGCATTAATTCTAAAGTTTTTAAGTCCGTATAGTGTTTACCTATTCTTATGTTTTCGTAATTATTTTTGTCAAAATTTCCTGCTCTGTAATTGGAATTGCCTATTGAGCAGTGTACCAATAAATAAATAAATAAATAAATAAATGACAACATTATGGCAACTCTGTAAGCCTAGTGATTTGACAGGGACAATGAAATATATAGTTATATAGATTGATCATCCATGTTTTTCAAAATAAACAGTTGATTTTAAAATTTTCAATTCAATTTCTTCCAATGCTGACTGTGAACGTATGCTTAATAATATATTATGAAAGCAGTCGAAAATTGGTGTCACTTAAACCTTCTCCCTTTAAATGCATCAAAATGTTTTATAATGTCGTTTTCATTAAAACCGGATATTATTTTATTTAACTACGAGATAAACAAGTTATCTCGACAAAGACCTGAACATTTTGTCGATCTTGGTGTAACTTTTGATCCAAAGCTCTCATTTATATTACACATTGAAAAAATTGTATCAGCTGCATTAAAGATGTATAGGTTTGTATTACGTATTAGTAGGGAGTTTTCAGATACAGAAACTCTTAAAATGCTGTATTTTTCATTCGTTCGGTCTAAACTGGAGTATGCTTCCATAATTTGGAACCCCCATTACCAAACAGTGCAGCGGCGATTCTTAAAGTTAATTTGCTTTAAACAAGATGGCGTTTATCCGGAAATAGGTACACCTTATCAATATCTGCTTAACAGACATAACTTTATTGATCTTGAGACAACGCGCAATTGTCATCTAATCATTTTCATAGACAAATTAGTACATAACGTTCCGAGAACTACTGCACGGTCACAGTCTACTTTCTATCTACCATCAGCAAGAACTAATGTTTTAAAATCATCACCACTGTATAATATGTGTACATTATGTAACTTAGTAATACCATAAATATATTTAATTGTGGTGTATATAGCATTAATTCTAAAGTTTTTAAGTCCGTATAGTGTTTACCTATTCTTATGTTTTCGTAATTATTTTTGTCAAAATTTCCTGCTCTGTAATTGGAATTGCCTATTGAGCAGTGTACCAATAAATAAATAAATAAATAAATGACAACATTATGGCAACTCTGTAAGCCTAGTGATTTGACAGGGACAATGAAATATATAGTTATATAGATTGATCATCCATGTTTTTCAAAATAAACAGTTTATACCTTGAATTAAAAATGTAAACAATTTTTTTTTATTATATTCAAAAGCTGAAAATTTGTTTCAAAACACATTTTTGCTAAACTGATTCTGATTAATGAGCACTTGGAAGGAAATACGGCCGCTAGCAGATGGATCCGCTTTTAGCAATCTATACAACGATATATGTATCATTGACCCTGTCAATAACAGCAGGCCACAGGGTTGCCATATCTAAACGTCAGTTCCCACGTGTCAGCATTTTGACAATAATATACACATACATTTAACCACTGTACAACTTCTACAGTAACGATGTATTATATAATTTACAACAAAAGAACTACTTTAAGCAGTTTGTATTAGTTTTATTAACCATATAATAATTTTATGGATAAATATAATAGTAACTACAGTATACAACGGTATTAAAACGGTATTATTAAGTGAATATGTATCTATTATAAGTAGTTGTAATTTAAAAGTTATAGAAACGTTATAACAACCACATATATTGTACATTTTAATATAATTAATTTAGTTATACGTTTCTTATAAGATAATGTTTTTACAACTCTAGACTAACTTTACTTAACAAATTGTAACAAAAACGTCTTACTATTAATTTCTACACTATTAAAAAGTTGTATATCAGTTATAAAATTATTAAACGTATCGTTTACATGTGTTTTAACGTTTTAATTAATTTTCATTTTATAACTTTGTGTTTTACTTGGGATACTTCTGAGTGACAACTAGGAAAGATCAATCGCATGTATCTGCATAAGCAACTATGCTTACAATATTAAAGGGATCCTTACAGGAAATTTTCTATTGAAATAATATGCATATTTTGCGAAGAAGAATTATTGGCAATACAGGAGACTTTACTTGTGGTCATACAAATAGAAGCCCAGTTTGGAGCCACTACAAATTTTAAACTTCATTGGGTAAAATAGGATTGAAGGGGGCGCTATAAACGTCGAGACTATTTCCTTGCCGCCTCAGTGACAAAAGGAGGCCTAATAGATCTTTTAGATCACAGTGTATCTCACACTCTTTATCAGCAACACATTGGGATGGATTCCATAATACGTAGGTAGGTAACCATGAAAAGTAAAATGCATTAGTAAGTATATTAAATTTTTAAATTATGAGACAGAACGTTAAAATTATGGGCCATTTCTAGTATTAGAATTATGTAAAAATTAACTTACAGTTGGTTTTGTAGATTGTTTTCTAGGTCGGGAAGTCTTAGTTTTAGTTAAACTGGTTTTGCCTTGCCTTGGTTGCACTTTAGAATTATTTTGTTGAAGTATAGGGTTGTCCTGAATAATTTCCGTAGTTTTATTACAAATACAGGTTTGAGGACATTTACTTTCTTCTTGACTTTCTTGTGCTTTGCTATTATCTCTATGTACTATAATTGTATTATAATTCTCAACAATATGTTTCTTATTGTTTGCGTCAGCTTTACTTTGGCGCACTAGTGCTGTGTTATTGGAATGTATTCGATTATGCTTATCGTTTTGAGGATCTGCTAGCAAACTATTAAAAAAATTGTCAGTTACTGCTGTATTATTGGTGCGATTGTCACTTTCTTCTTCTTTTGGTAACAAAGTATTATTAAAGTTATTTGTATTGTTTTTTAATTCACTTCTATTATTTCCTACAGTTTCATAATTAAAGTGATTTTCATTTAATTTAATTTGATGTCCGTTTTTCCATTTTTGTCTTTTAATGTTCGTTCTATTTTTTCTTCCATATTTGCTTCGCAATGGTTTTAATCGTATTATTTGAAAAGAAGATTCTTCGTTACTTTTAGTTTCATTTTTTGGCTGAAATTTGCTTTGGATTTGTCCTACTTGTTTCTTGTGGTATTTGTAATCATGTTTCTTGTACGAATTATGTATTTTGTTACTGATTGTTATGTGCTTGTCATATGTAACGCCATTATCTTTATTTATGGTTATACGGATTATACCATCTGTAAACTGTGTTTTATTATTTTTCTGATTTGTGAAATTATCTGGTTTCGTAAACGATTTGGAGCTGTTATCAATGTTGTCAATTATATTATTTAAAACTTCAGCTTCTCTTTTTACGCTTCGTTTTTTGCCAGTGTAATCTTGATATCTTGATTCCGATATATGAGAATTGTTAAAAACTTTACTTAAGTCTTCTTCAATTTGTATCTTGTTAACAGAATTTTCATTATAATTGTCAGTATTTGTTTTTATTTTTCCGTAAAAATTAGTGCCTTGTCTAAAATGTAGTATTTGATCATCTTCGTAAGTTTCGTTGTTATAAAGAAATTCCCAATTCTAAAATACATAAGAAAACTGCTGAATACATTTTTAAATACTTCTAGTTTTACTCCTTAGGTTTTAGAAAAATATGATCCATTTTCTCCGAAATCGGACATAAATGGTTTAATTTTGTTTGAGCCAATTTTTTAAGCCAATTTGAAATATATTTTAAAAAATATTTCTTAGTTCTTCAATATTTTCGTATAAATTCATAATGCCAATTATTTTTTACAAAAATTTATTTCAAGAGAATACATAAATTAATTTAAAAACATTTTAGTAAAAAGGTACTCAGTTAAATAAAAAAAATCTATTTTAAATTAATTAAAGTTTAATCACTTTGTATTTTTTACCACCATGGGAAGCGTGTTTCTTTCCATGTTTTTCGGAACTCTTGAGATGGCTTTCACTGCCCCCTTGTGCTTGATGGGCTTTGTGATCAGAGTCGTGGTGTCCTTTTCCTGACTTGTAGGCCTTACCAGAGGATTTTCCAGAAACAGCGTTCTAAAAAACATAACGAAAATTTACAAAAAGAAAAGAAATGTTCAAAAATCGCTTACATATTTCACGGTTTGTTACTATAGCAGTCAGACAGGCCATGACCGTCAGGAGGGTGCGCAACTTGTAGTCATAATTTTGGAATTTCAACAAATTACACACACCTATATATAGTGTTTATAGACTTAATTTAATACAGGCGTTTGTACAGAGGGTGCGTAATAATTCGCGTTATAAGCGCTGATAATGCTACGAATTATATACTCTCACATTGCAAATAATCGCAAACCGTCTTGGAATAGCACACTTAAGTTTTAAACATGGACACACCCACAGTTGATGTAAAGTCCACAAGTGAGCGGTCAGAATTGCTAGCGTGTCTGGCTGCTTTAGTTGTTCTATCTTTGTTTAGTAGCGTGCACGGTCTGAAAATTTTTCTCAAAGCGTTTGTTAAACTTGTTTTTATGTTTCGGTGTTTCTGTTAAATTTTGATTTGTATTGTACAAGATGGCTTTCTGGATATCTCTTGTGGTAAATGTAGGTTGCTAATGAATTGCAGGTTAATGATGATGTTCACATTAATAATAAAATTACAATAAATACCGAAATTTAGAATAATGATTAAGAATAATTAAATACACCACAAATTAATGATGAAGTACGTATTAATAATGCAATTTACTAATGACAATTAAGGTGAAACACAATCTTGGGAATTAAAAAATCAGGACTTACATATTCAAGTTCAACAGGTAATTTTAAATATTTCACAAACAGATGCAGTTAAAAGAATATGTAAGTTAACAAAAATTCCCTAGCGCCGCCTTCAAAGGGACGGCCTTTGAAGTCTGCGCTAGTCGATTATTATGCCATGGTGGATTGTCTCTAGAAAGACTATACTTAGATTTCTAAGTCTGTTAAAACATTAATTGTTCCAACAGTTCAAGTACACAATAGATCAGTAACAGATGAATAACACAGAACGAAAAAATAAGAATACAGCTATAACCACGCCTTAATGATGATACATCATTGTCAAAGTACACTAGCAATAAAGGTAGATTTCGCAGTGTAGTTCCAATTAATAGTTTATAATCACGTGCACCAGTTTTCTCAGAGTAGGTACCACTATGTTGGTGGAATTGAAGATCAGAGCGTCTATAGTTACTTTCCTTTCTGTAGTTCAAGCGACTATTTAATTTAGAGACAGAACAATTTTCTGGTAGTACAGATATTATGAATCCGGCGTAAGAGGAATAGCTAGGTGATGTTATTATTTTATTTATTTACGAAAAGGTACATGACAGGTATTGTAAGTGTTTCAACTTTCATTAAATCCAAGGGGTAACTATGTACACCGTGATCAAATCCAATATAAAAACAAAAAAATATGTCTCTAACATGAGCATAGTTCAAAAAATCGGGCCAGAAGTCGTTAGTGTATGCCGTACCATTTTGACTATTAAGGTACTATTTGGGAATGTGACCGAGGCCGAAGACCCCGATAGGCGACACAGACGTGTCTCTTTACATCTGAATCATATCACACATCACCGTCTCGGACCAGTGTGCTGCCGCCTTTTACGCTTAGCACGTGTATTTTAAAGTTGTATTCATCCATACAAAAGGAAACAAAGTTTTAAAATGGTATTTAATTAAACTTTCTCAATTTATCTTAGTTTAAAGTAAGTACTTATTTATTAACACAGAATAAAATCCTCTTCTAGTTTTATATACTGAACTCATTGGTTAATTCTTTTTATATAAAAAATACTATACTTTTAATAGGAGTCTTTAAATCACTTTTTCTCAACGGACTCTTAAAATATATAAATTAAAAAAAGCAAAAAAGGCTGACGGCTGTGTGCATGTAGATTAGATTAAAAAGGAAAGACTTGTATTTCGTGCAAAATTTTTAATTATTAAATTCAAAGCGCTTTCGGCATGGTGCCATCATCAGTGCTTATCTACAAAAATTGTGGATGTAAAAGGTCTGTTCCAACAACGATTAGAAACCAGTCAATGACACCAGGATTCTGAGCAGTAGCATATTGGTACCGCCAAATTATCTACTACGCAGAATTCTAGTCTCAGTGACTAGTTTGTGATCGTTGTTGGAACAGACCCAATCATACAATCTATAAATATGTGTAAAAATAAAGTCTGAGTAAGACTTTTAAGTCAAAAGTTAAAAGATCAGGTAATTTTGAACAATTTAACAATTAAAAGAACAAACAGAGTGACATAACCCAGTGTTGGGGATAGTGAGTGCATGATAAGCCCCTAAAAAATCGTATCTGACCTCTAGAAGCAAGTTAGCTTGTGTGAAACTAAGGAATTATACCACCTTCACTATTCGCATTGAGTACAATTGAACACAAGTTAACAAATGAATTAAAAAATTACAAATAGAGGATGACTGTGGAAAATATATTGAAATTTAAATTTCAGTTAATATGAAAAAGGTTAAAGGTAAAAGGCCACAAAAACTGAATGTTTTATTATATAATTATATTATAATTGTAAAAAAGTCTACTTACCTACTGTCCACAAACAAGCATATCCACCAAGTTCTTTGTCATCCTTACTCCAAAATATAAATATTTCTGGAGAGTCACAACTTGCTAAATCATTATTATTTACTATTAATAATATTTTAAAATTTAAATTGGTTTACACCTCCATTTTTATTATTTGAACAACTGTTTTCAGGAGTCTGAGGTGACAAGTGACAATTAAAGACGTTGACAGGTCAAGTGTCAAGAGAGGAGTTACTCCAAGTGTGATTGGACTAATTGGAGGTGGTTAAGAGAGAATAAAAATTTTGGTATTGAATTTAAAGAAAAAATTTTTTTTTTGAAATTTGATTTATTTGTTAATTAAATTTTAATTTAAATAAATGTTTAATATGAATTCTTATTTTAATATCAAGGCAAAACAAAAATGTCACTCACGTGATTCTGCTGTGCCAGCCTGGGCTCTGCAGAATTTTTTTTTTCCTTTTTTCCTTTCCTTTCCGAGAACCCAAGATGCCACAACTGAACCTGCGGTCCCTAGAGGTGAATCTGATGTTTAATCTTAAAAATTCCAAGTCACTCAACAAGCGTACTCATGGTTGGAGTGAGACAAAAAAGGGAACAAAAATCATACAAGTACCATGGTTCCAGAGGTAAACTCGATTTCACCCAATAGAACCTACCTCTGGAACCATGGTACTTGTATGATTTTTGTTCCCTTTTTTGTCACAGTTGTGCCATCTTGGGTGCTCGGAAAGAAAAAGGAAAGAAGGGAAAAAAAATTCTGCAGAGCCCGGGCTGGCACAGCAGAATCACGTGAGTGACATTTTTGTTTTGCCTTGACATTACAATAATAATTCATGTTAAACATTTATTTAAATTAAAATTTAATTAACAAATAAATCAAATTTCAAAAAAAAAATGGAAACGGTTGGTCAAATAATAAAAATTAAGGTGTAAACCAATTTAAATTTTAAAATATGATTAATAGTATATAATAATGATTTAGCAAGTGACTCTCCAAAAATATTTATATTTTGGAGTAAGGATGACAAAGGACTTGGTGGATATGCTTGTTTGTGGACAGTAGGTAAACTTTTTTACAATTGTAATGTAAATAGGGGAAAAAGTTATTTTTTTTGGCCTTTTGCCTTTAACCTTTTTCATAATAACTACCCACTATGCATAAAAACGTTAAATTAATGAGAACATCACATTTTTACATTGTAACTCTCATTTTTACTCTTGTTTTTTAGGGACCTTTACTTTTGCGATGAAACGATGTAGATGTTGTTACGTTATTGGAAGTTCCCAAAAATAATGTCTTTTTAACAAACCAGATGTGACATTCCTGTTATATCCAAGAAAGTCTTTTTACTTCTTGTAGATGTTATTATAAAAGCCCATAAAATAAAATCATATTAATGAAGCAAATGTGACGTAAGCTTCTTACTGAATCCTCCGAGGAAATACCATTATTCTTTTCACTAGGAAAAAACTCGTGTAAAATTCAAGAATCTGAGTTTATTTCAACATCTCTCTTTGTATAGGATAATATTAATTCAAAGACATATAAAGCTAATAAATTACCTATTCTTAGTAATAAAGTAACTGATCATTATAAAAGTGTTTAGAGGAAATAAAAATATGGATAATTCGTAATAAAATTGCAGACAAGGCACTATGTAAACCTATTTTTGTTTTTTTTAGAGATGTGTAGGAAAATTCACAGTACACAACTGGCAACGGAAAATGTAAAGGCCTTTACTATAAATAAAGTGACCCAAAGATGCTATAGAAGTAAGTATTACTATAATTTGTGTCTCAAGATTTTGAAATATTTCCATTTTACTGATATTTTCATCTCAATTCTAACACTTATTATTAAAAGCATCAAAATGTAAATATAAATATCTCATAATACATATACATATATTATATATCATTTTTTTTTAGGAGACAAATATGTGAAGAACAGCAAATAAATTTAAATTATTTGTTTTTGTATGTACGTATTGTTTTATTTTTTTTTAATTTGCTTTATTTTTAAAATAAAATGTATTTTGTATTTAAGTATGGGTTTTATTTTCTAAACTATGGTACGGCATTACAAAAAAAAATTGAATATGCCATGAATATTCAAAATACTATGAATATAGGCATACATAGATATCCTCAGTAAATCCAGAGAATATGACATACATATATTTTGGCAGATAAAAACATATCGTGGGCATATGTTTCATAGTGACCTTGAATATTCCTGCAATCTTCCTGTCATATGCCCTGGCGGATATGGCATATCCATGGAATATAGGAGTATGCAGTTGAGATATGCATTGAATATTCATGCAATATTTTTGTGCTGTCTGGGTTAGTTCCACACAAGCTAACTTGCTTCTGGAGATCAGATATGATTTTTTAGGGGCTTATTCCACACTCAATATTCCTAACATTGGGTTATGTCACTCTGTTTGTTCTCTTTTAATTGTTAATTGGTTCAAAATTACCTTATATATATTGTTTTAACTTTTGACTTAAAAGTCTTACTCAGATTTTATTTTTACACATATTTATAAATTGTAAGTTTACATCCATAATTTTTGTAGATAAGCACTGATGATGACACTATGCCGAAAGTGCTTTGCATTTGTTAATTAAAAATTTTGCACGAAATGCAAGTCTTTCCTTTTTAATGTAAACTACGTGCACACAGCCGTTAACCCTTTTTTGGTTATTGTAATAGAAAAGAAATTGTATGTAACACGTTATTTTATGTAATTCATTCATAGTTGCGGGAATTCACTTTTCTCGTCCTGCAAATATTTACTCGTTACATAAACTAGGGCATTCAGTAACTGGTTGCATAAATGGCTATTATTTAAGAGAAAAAAGTTTCATCCGTTAAACAGATGGGGGAAGGTCAAGCTTACTTCGGATCCTGTACTATATGTATAACACATCTCCTTTTATTACATTTTTTGACAAAACAAATTTTAGCGTTTTGGAACTTGCATTTAAATATTTAGAAAAAACGGGATTACGTGGTAGCATTGTTCTTGTCATTATTACCATTATTGCTAAAAAAGTGGGTACATATTTAGTTTTTCACTCGATAAAAGCTACAGCTTAAAATTTGTGACAGTTAGCCGCCATTATAAATTTTTCTTTGGTACATCATATATTAGCGACCTCTAGCGAGATTTGTAGATTTATGCACAGGTTAGGGTCATATTTATCAGAGTATAGTAGCTGGGTAGCTATTCACTAAGTCATGGGAGCGCTCCCATGGGAATGTTCCCATATATTTTGCTCTCTTACTCTTAGGTGGGTATATCGTGCTTACTCCGACCTAACTATTCATGTACCTGGGCTAAAAGAGAGTAAGCACGATATACCCACCTAAGAGTAAGAGAGCAAAATATATGGGAACACTCCCATGGGAGCGCTCCCATGACTTAGTGAATAGCTATCCTGGCCAGTGTCAGATTTGGTCATCGGTAAAAAGACCGGTACATCCTTGTTCATGCAAACTGGGTCCTCGTTTAGTAAGTGGGCCCTCGTGAATTACATGCAAGTAACCCCGTAATACGTGAGAGGACCTTTTTTGCTCTTGAATGAGAATCGGACAGTAAAAAAGGTCGCCTTCTCCCTCCTGACCGGTAGGCCCTGGAGGTCCCAATCCAACACTAGTAGCTGGCATTTACCGTGATTTAATTCAATTCTATTCAAAATCACAAAATTCGGCAAATATAAATAGGTAGATTATGATGAGATTTATTTCTATTTTTTCTATTGAACTTCTTTTCTACAAATTTGGAAATCGATTGCATATTGCAAGAATACACCTAATAAAAACAGTGAAGAACCAGATAAAATCACAAAGAATTGATGTGGTATACATATATTTACTTACCTTATGATTTTTCTTATTTTTTTTACTGTAACTGTCAGAGGCGTATTTTGATTTTTTCTTTCCATAAACTTCATATTGTCCGCTCTTCTCCCCTTTGCTGAAAAAACTATCATGCTTTTTTTCTTCATCTTTATGGAATTTTTCACGAAAACCCTAAAAAAGTTGATTAGTTAGATATTTGAAACTATTTGAATAAAATGTTAAAACATACGAACAAAAACATAGAAGGCAGAATATGATTGTTATTAATAGCAAAGATTTTTTTTATAAATAAAAAAAAAAAAAAAAAAATGATTACACCATCGGGTTCTAAGTTTCCGACAGGATCTTTAGCCATATTTCATTGGAAAAATAAATAGGTATGAATGCATTAGTAACAAAGTCATAGAATTCAATTTTGAAATTGTACTATTTAAATATGTATATTAGGATGGGCCGAAAACATGAAAATCAAAATCTTAATTTGCTAGTCCATGGAAATAATACATCCGGACATATTTGAAGCCAGCGGCCAAAAATTCCTGACGGTCATAGATGCCTTCTCTAAATATGGACAAGCATATCCCATAGAATGAGCCAACGCAATCAAAGTCTTAAACGATCTCTTTATTCTCATCACACATCATGGACTTCCACATCTGATAGTCACAGCTAGCGGTAACGAGTTGAAAAATGGACTAATGCAAGAATTTGTGGACATATATAAAATCTATATCCACTATACTACTCCAGACAGCCCACAGTCTAATGGAATGATAGTACGCTTTCACTCCACTATTCTGGAACATCTAATTCGAGAAAAGCAAAAAAGGGAACAGTAAAGAACAAATGTTATATTCAAACATTTTGGGACCCAAGTAAAACCCATAGACGTTCTAAATGGTCGCTTAGAAGCAAAATACCCATTTGAAATCGGTATTAAAAGAACTCTACTAAGTAACTACACTCAAGGTCATAGGGAGAAAACAAAATAAAGATATAAAGAAATAAACAGACAAATTTAAAATCTTAAACTAAAAACTATCGACAAAAGAAACGAAAAGCGAGAGGTTCCAATAATATAAAAACCCTTTTCAAAAATATACTAGTAAGAAGAAACAAGATATTTTCCTAAAATCACCGAATTCATCATTCCCAATACAACTGAAACTATTTTAATGTTGATTTTCGTTATATTGTCCCTTTGATGTAATGAATTTAGATGATCAAATATTATTCGGTAAAATATATTTTCGATCAAATTTCCAATTTCATCAAATTTCTTTCGATCAGTTTTCTGCCACCCCAATTTGATACCGCACGATAAATACGTAGGTACTTTAATTCATCTATATTAGGGCCAATTTCATAATCGAACCCTAAAGGCGGATTTAAACAAAGGAGGCTTCTTTTAAAGTTCCCATTAAAGCCTTCTTTAAAAAGTGCCATTTCATAATGGTTTTCCTAATGTACTTTTACCAAAACGGGCTTTAACAAAATTGTTGATATTGCTGATCTGTGTTTAATTCTAACATTCACCGGAATATTAGCCACAAAAATGTTAAGTTTCCTATAAAATGTTTTGAAATTAAAAATATTTTATATTTAATTATAAAGTATAAATATTTATTCAACATATTTGTAAAATGATAGATATCGTGTTAGCTCTTCGGGTTTTTCCAAAGTAGGTGAAAAAGAAATTGAATGATTTGAAATTTAATTTATTCTAGGAATTAATACCTCTAGTATATGACACAGGAAGCAGGGTAATACTATGGGTAATCCTATTAACTATTTTAAGAACCCTTTTATCGAAAGTACAAACGGTAGAGTACCAATAAATTACAAATCATTGCCTTTAATCCATTTTAAATTTTAGTTTGGGATTTCCGAAATTATAGTAAATGTGTCAACGTGTCCTATGGTGAAAAAGGATTTCTCTGTGAAAAATAAAAGTTTAGATCAGTTATTTAAAAACAAAATTGTTTTAGTATATTTTATAGTATTTTTTTAGTAGTTGTTCTGAAAAATATAAAAATATATAAACAATGTTGAAAAAGTTGGTATAGCTAGAATGCTATTTTTATCATGATAGATATGAAAATCTATTTCAAAATTACTGACTTTACGTTTCAATGCTATAAATCAAGTGACGACAACTGTAAAAATCAAAATTCAACAATTTCAAAATAAAGTTATATTATTTGTTTGTGTACTCACATCAAATTTAACCAAACTGGCGCGATGTTATAAAATATTCTCAATCAAAATGAAAAATTTTTAAACGTCATAAGAAAAAGCACGCTTTAAAGCTTCTAAAGGAGCAGGAACGGGTATTTAGTTAAACGAAGCTTTAAAGTGTACTTTTTCAATAAATTTGTTTTATGAAATCGATATAACATTTAATGTGTCACTTTAATATTGAAGTTTCCTTTAATTTGATTATGAAATTTACCCTTAGTATTCTAAAAATTATTCCATTAAGTGTATCACAATGAGTTTCACTACTTAGATTGTTAGTGAAATCTTCTTATTCACTATAACTAATTTCAAAAAACAAAAAATATTTACACAAGGTCCATAAGAATGAAAAAGCAGCAGATTAGTAACTTTCTTATGTAAAAATATCACAATTTAGCCAATCTTGCCTATCCGAAAGTAGGTATTAAGCTTGTATTAAGCGACATATAGGGTAAAGGTACAGTTTTTGTTACTGAAACAACAAAAAATACGATTCGTTCCAAATTAATTTAAAAAATTAAAATAATTTTTTCAAGCACCCTGTAACTGACTTAAAATTTACTCTAAATAGATAAATTTAGCTAAATTTTCATAGTTTTATGTAAATAATCTGTTGCTGTTCCGTGTCCTATTCCTTTTTTCATTTTATAAATTTAAAATGTTTTTAGCGACCCCGAAAACTTTCTATATCAAAATTACATAAAGTTCAAAGTAATTTAGTTGTTTCCTGTTTAATTTTTTTACTTTTTGACCATTTTTAGATGAGTTTTGTACCAAATTTAAAGTAATTCAAAGCTCAGGATCACTTCTTGTTGCAGGCCGCCGCGTCTCGATGACAAAAAAGAAAGCATGCGAAGGATAGAAGAGTATACCCTTGGATTTTGCATTAAAAATAATGCATTTTTAAAATAGAATTGTGGCAATTCTAACACATCAGATTAATTGAAATTTTAGAAGCGTATTAGGAACATATAAAAAAGTCTACTCTTCTTTCGATTTTTTGATATTTATAAAAATAAACTCGTAATAAATTTTTAAAGTTGGGCGAGTTTAAGCCGACTTTCAATTTTTTTTAATGTGTTTTTTATTGATTTTTGGAATAACAATTTAAGTTTTAGTTGATTATACAACATATTATTTTTTAATAACATCGGATAACTAGATCATTTACAATTCCTTTCCAAAAATCTTTCAAATTTAGGCCTATTTTCAAAAGTAAGAATCCCCCCTTAAGCGCAGTTATAGCAAAACACTCTGCAGTTAATTATAAATATTTGATTGTAATCACATCGTCAAACAATTTTAATTGACTTCATTAATTTGCTATGTTGTATATAGGGTGTGTCAAAGCATGGGGTTACGATTTTTTAAATGGAATACTCTGTATTAATTTACTGGTGGTATAACATAGAGGGTAATCTATTAAAAAAATTGAGAAAATCGTTACCTCACATTTCGACACACCCTATGTTCAACATAGCAAATAAATGAAGTATATTTAAATTGTTTATTTAAAATATTTATTAAACATAGTCATGCAACTTTTATATTACTTTTTTTTCGTATTTCCAATAATAAAACAGCTATCGATCAATTATGCTCTGATGTGACACCCTGTATATGTATGTTGGTATCGCTGGTAAGGTAAAATTATTAGGAATTTCATGCTAGAATAATATACAGTGTGTTGCATTTGAAAAAATTGAATAAATTGATCTTAAAACTAGCCATGTTTAAGACATGTTTCAAGACACTCTGTATAAAATAAACCAGTTTTATCACCACTATTCGTTAGCTTAGTATCTTATTCATCTTTTATTTAAACAATTTTGAAATCTTTGTAAACCTACCTAAATTACGATAATTTCATTTGGGGTCTGCACCATTCTCTAATTTAAAAAAAAATTAATTACTTGGCAACTCTGTAATATCTTTATAAAAATTTTTTGGGTTAAATAGAATATTATAAGAGCATTCTAAAATTAAAATAAAATAGAAGGTGTTCTATTTAAAAAATGCAACACCCTGTATATCCAAAAATATTTTTAAAATACTTATTTTTTAAATCCATATAACTTTTATTTGAAACTTGTTTGTATGTCAATAACACAAATTTAAATATTGAAAAATTACGCACTAATGGGACACCCTGTATAATTATTTTTTAAAACATTATTATGGGCTTAAGAAAGAGTTATATGAGTATAAACAAAGTGTTGTTAAAATGATTCAAAGCAACAATACAAAATCGCTATAAGGCATTTCAATTTTATTAGCTGAAACGTTGTATTATACATAAATGTTTATATTTAACAATTTTATATTCATTGTGATAACTATCTTATAATTTTGGTGTAAGAACTTTGTAAAAATTAATTAACATGACAATTTAGCTTCAGAAAACAAAATTATATTAATAAAATATAGTCTTGTAAACTAAAAATTATAAAGCTAATTTGGTAGTTGGGAAGCTTCTCAGGGCACATATGTTTCAAAGATTAAGAAAACATTAATTTTAATTTTGGAACCGTTGGGTGGTTGAAAAGATAGGCCAAAAAAATAGGAGCATTATTTTCACACTAAAATATAATTTTTCAATACCTGCGACCTAAGACTGTATAAAATTATGCCTATAGGTGCGCATATTAATATATGTACCTACCTTTAAATAATTTCCTTTTTTGTATTTCTTGCCATCAGCATATTTTAATCCGTGATGTGATCCTCCAGCGGCATGTTTTGATGATTTGTGTGTATCTTCAAGATGGTGAGAAGTTTTCTTTCCCTTTTTCTCTAAGTGATTGGTTTTATGTACATCTTTGAAATCCTGTCCCTTTTTGGAAGATTCTTCATCATGCTTACTGCTTTTGCCACTCGAAACTTCGTGCTTTTGTTCTGTTGCTTTTCCACCTACAAATAAATTTATAAACTAAGCGCTACCAAATAATAGTTTAACTGAATCTTCAATTTTAACTAATTTCCATTATTAAAAAAATTATTTTAGAACTTAGGTTGCTTCCTGTGATTCTTGAGAGAACGACAAAAAAATGCGACATCGATAATTTATCATTCAAGGATTTTTCATATCAATACCTACCTTTTACTAACTTACTACAACATTATAAGAGATAATGAATAAAGAATTTAATGTGTTATATTTAGCGATATTATTGCAATTATAGGTACATAATATACTGATATTGCTGATAGTATTTAACACTGATGAAATTCAAAAATTTAAATAGCTTCCTCATTTAACACCTTAGGGGACTAGTGAAAGGAGTCTTTAGTATAAAACATACTAACAACTCCACCATCTTATTTGTGGAAGAGAGGGAAGATCACGAGAAAGTTATCTCAAATTTAAGGGAAGAAAAAATAGCCCATTATACATACATTAATAGCGTCGATAAAGCGCAAGCCTTCGTGCTCAGAGGCCTAGCCGATGGCACTAAAATTTCGGATATTGAAGAGAACTCAGACGAAGAACACGAAATTAAATCCAGGTCCATATATATAATGAACACTAAAAATCAACCGCTATTTCTTGTGCTCACTGACGCGTCACCACAATTGAATACCTAAACAAAAATGTGAGGAGGGTTTTATACACCAGAGTGACTTGGGAGTTACGAAAATCGGTCAAGCTTATCATACAATGCTACAATTGCCAACAATGGGGGTACGTTACGGCAAATTATGGCAGGCCACCAAAATGCTTCAAATGCAAGGGTGATCACCACACGCTCACTTGTATTAAGATGAGAGATACTCCAGCCTCATTTACAAACTGCGGGGGTGATTACCCGGCCAACTACAGCAAATGTAAGGCATACCTAGACAGACTTGGAAGACTGGAAGAAAAAAGAACAAGACCACAGAAAAACAAATATATAGCACCCCCGTTGACAATCAACAAGTGAAACAATAGGAGACAGAGCGCTAGAAGAGAAGAAGAATTTCCATCCCTTCCTTCTAGAAACCCCAAAACAAATAACTAAAATGCAACCGCATTTGAAAGCAGCACAAAACAAGTAAGTCAAGCGACTGCCATAGACGATGTAACAGCACTTAATGACGCATTTTTAAAGCTTAATTCCCTAATTAACATCGACGAGCTTACTAGAGCAGTCAGAAAGCTTGACTCTAAAATTAGACTGTGCACAACAGGTAAGGTAGTATTTGAAACATAATAAATTCATGAGTAACATTGATATAAACTTCAACTTAAGGAATTAGTTTCGACAATAATACAAATGATAAAATCAAAACTTGTTTTTACAATGCAAATGGGATGCAAAACAAAAACCCTATTGTTCGTAGTTTCATTCACAAACATAAATTCTACATAATAATCCTTACAGGAACACACTATAAACCGACTGACAAACTCAAATTTATAGGATATGATATCATACACCAAGACATACCTAATCAAAGTTGGGGGGTGGGGTAGCTTTCATAATTAAAAACAATTTTATACCATTTTTTCAACATGTTCTCCTATTAAGTGACTTAAATAGCAAACATCCGCACTGGGTCGCGAACTATTCGGTCCCAAACAAAAGCGGAAAAATCCTGGATGAATTCGCCGACAATAATGATCTAATTATTCACTATACCGAAGAACCCACTTGCTTCCCATTCAATGGAAGTACGCCGAGCACACTCGACAGCGCTAGCCAAAAACTTACCACACATAGACAACACTAGGACAATAAAAACCCTCACATCAGACCACGACCCTCCATACTTGCGAGATTAAAACGTCCAGTTTAATCCCAAAAATGCAGGGGAAGTTCTATGACTACAGCACAACTAACTGGACAAACTACAGAAAAACACTGGTCGAAAAACTAACAATCACCAACAACATTACGGACATTAAACAAATAGATGAAAAAATAAAAAAATAGCCAGAGAAAAATCAACAAAAACAATTAAAACAAACCAACATACTGAAAATTTACCTGCAGACATACTTGTATTAATCAACAATACAAACTACATTAGACGACGCTGGAAAAGACATATACAAACCGCTGACAGGGTAAAACTGTTAGACATAGGGAAAGTTATAATTAAAAAAATTAATGAACACCGAAACATGAAATGGAGAGCTACCCTGGAGGCGGTCAACATACATGACGGATCAGTGTGGAAAGTTGTGAGACGGTATAAAAAACCGTACTCTCAACTTCACACACTAAAATACAATGACATGACGCGCTCGACGGACGACCAGAAGGGGGCGGCGTTCGGTGAATTCTTCCAGGATAACTTCGTTAATGATCAATGTAATAATGCTATACAGATAGAAATCGAAGAAATATGCCCCAAAATCAGAAATATGACCACTCAAAATGTACCTAGAAATCTTCTCACTTCTCCTAAAGAAGTAGCAGAAGTAATAAAAAGAATACCCAATAAATGAGCTCCTGGACCTGATAAAATACACAATGAACTTCTAAAAAATATATCAAGGAAGGCGTATGTTCAATTTCACCATATTATCAACGTAATAATGTTTCATAATTATTACCCTGAATCTCTGAAAATTGCAATTGTAATTCAAATACATAAAACCTGGAAAGACAAATCCAAAATTGAAAGCTACCGCCCTATTTCATTATTAAATGGCATTGCGAAAATCATAGATCGAATACTACTCACCAGAATACAGACACACGAAACTGACAAACCCATCATTCCATCGGAACAGTATGATTTCAGAGCCGGACACAGCACAATAGCGCAGGTGATACGCATTGCTCACCACGCAAAAGAAGCGTTTAATAATTCAAAACAAACAGTGCTAGTTGCGCTTGATGCTGCGAAGGCGTTTGACACCGTCTGGATTGACGGATTGATCTACATAATGTTTGTGAACGACTATCCGCTTTTCATTGTAAAAACAATACAAACTACTTACATAACCGACAATTTTTATTAAAATAAACAATACTAAAAAAGGACCATATACAGTGCGAGCGGGGATACTCCAGGGTTCTGTACCGGCGCCAAATCTGTATACCATTATGTATATCTGTATACCATTAAAATGATATAAAGACGGCGCTATACGGCGACGACACTTGTGTCTACAAAACATCGCATTCTGCTGAATTCTCAAACAGAAGGCGTGATATACACGTCAATCGAACGCTGGTTCCTTATCTGGAACGAAACAAAATAAAAATCAATCCTAATAAAACAGAGTATGATGATATTGACACACAGGTGGACAGATAGAATCATCACTAACTTAAAAATACAGGGACAACAGTGGAAACCAAAAATAAATTAAAATATCTGCGATTCGTACTACAACGCAAAATAAACTCCTCCTGTACAAACAAATCATCAGGCTCATCTTGACATACGGAGCTCCAGTCTTCTGTTCGATGGCTAACGGACATTTCAATAAACTTCAAATAATGCAGAACAAGTGTATTCGGCTTGCACTGAGGTATAATCGTTACGCAGGAATCACCGACATGCATGAGCAAACATCCATCGAGCTTATAAAGGACCATATACTACGTATTTCGGAAAATTTTTACAAACATAGTTTGCCAAACAACGTCAAGGAAGACATATTGAGTATTCATAAAAATGATGGGGAAACAAGGCGACAGCAACCACAAAATTTACAGACGGGACAACTGACCTTTAAAAAATGAGCGACGCTCCCTTTACTGCAACAGACCACTAAACAACCAAGTCACACTGACCAGTACTTAAGCTTACTGGTTCGACGGAATACTAATCGATGATGTCCACATACTTTGATTTTCTTTTACTATACGGAGAATGGTCGCACTGCGCAGCTTTCTGAGTGCCTTTTAAAAGTAGATAGAAAACTCCGCCATTTTGAGCCTTTATTACGTGTTGCCTACATCTTGGCGCAATATTTGTAATAGGTGCGTTTTAATCATCCGCTTCTGCTTCGGAATTGTCGGTTTTCTTGTTTTAATCTGACAGGTTAAAACGACTAAACCGACAATTCCGGAAGTAGAAGCGGATGATTAAAACGCACCTGACATTTTGCTTGCTGCTGTCAGTGTCAGTGAATATTATTTTTGGAGTCACAGTTTATTGCTAAAGAATCAGTTAGCTCACTCGGACCAGTTGAAAGTTCCAAAATAACATCCACTCCAGGGATACAAATTCAGGATACGCAGAAGACTGCTGTTTTATTATAGGCGGTTGTCATATATTGTATTATCCGAGTTGCGCAGTGTATAAACTGGAACATTGAGATCAAAAGTGCCGAGCAGAGTGAGCGATCTGATTCTTTAGCAATAAACTGTGGCATAGTAATCAAAATGGCCGCGCCCTATGTTGGACGTGTCGGACCTCTCTCTTGCCCCGTATAGTAATCAAAGTATGTGATGATGTCACTGGCCGGATGGCAAATAGCAGCTTACTGAGATTTGCGGTCTGGACATGGGCAAAGTTGACTAGGCTAGTGACTTGGACACATACACACAAAAACTACCACATGACACACATACATCAAAGGACAGCCCTGTTTTTTCACTAGTTTTTCAGGAAACGACAGACATAGATAAATTCAGACAAAACTGTAAACAACTTTTTAACTACTGATCTAGAAAGCAAACCATAAAGGTATCATTTCGGTAGGCGCGACAGACGACCGCCGACGCGACCGAGAAGTGTCGCTTCACATCTAAAATACATACAATTATATGAAACACATTTCGCACGGCGCGACACGAGAAGTGTCATCAAACGACACTTCTAAATCTGACTTGGGTCAAAGGTTTGCTGTCTGTCTCACTCGAGGTCACTGTCCTCGAGCATCGCTTCATCGCTTGGAGGTGAATAGGTTGAAAATTTCTTTCGATCTAGGTAGTGTTGCCAGATTTTGGAACAGTATGGGTGAAAAAAAAAACCGTAGATCTGAACAGTACATTTTAATACAGGAGGAAATAATTAAAATGTGCAGTGTAGTAAATAAAAAAATTAGTATATAAGAAACGAAAAATAAACTTTTTTCGACCCAAATTGGAAGGGAAACAAAGAATAAATACAAATAATAACATTGTTAATATTTACCTAACGTACAAAAAAAATAATAGGTACCTACTTCTTTTAGATCAGTCTGAATCAGATAATTCAAAATCGTAGTGTGCATGTTCTTTTTATGATGCCCTATTAATTCTTTGTTTCATTTTAAATAAAAACAATGATTATCTTGATGTTTTTTTTTATGGAGCCAACCTAGAGTAGTGGATGCTTATTACGCTGCTTTTACTGCAGAAAATTTACTAGAGAAAATATTCTTTAACCATTTGCTGAAGAATGAGGCAAACTTATTAAATTAAAAACAAAATTTGCTAGAGACAAAAACAGTGAATCTACGTGAAAACAATAGGTCTGGCAACGCTGATCGTTCCCTCGAATGGTTATCCTGTAAGTGTCGCGCGACACTTCTCAAGCTTACGAAATGTAGGAAGCGTAAAATTTTTGCATCTGTCGTCCAACTCGACCTTGGGGTCGCCTCAGTGGTCGCTTGTCTCTTGACGCGCCTACCCAAATGGTACCTTAAGTGTTGTATAATGCTGCTTAAGCAAGGAGGCGACATAAACAAAACCACAATTCATAAATTGACAACGGTGTGATCGATGGCTGTTACATCGGCCAGGGACTCGTTTGAGGACAGCACGAGAAGGTACTTCAGTTGCTGAAGAATGCTACTGCGTTTGAACATCAAATACCTTTGTTCATAAACTTTATTTGCAAATATATAAATAAAGAATTTGAAATGAATGAAAAATTTAAATAATTGTTACCTTTATTATCGTGGCTATTTTTTTCTTCTCCTGTATGTGAATGATGTATTTGATGCTCTTCTGCCACCGATATACACACTGCGCAGGCAATTAAAACCTGAAACAAAATTTAATATTTAGTATTTTCCTTTTATTACTCGTAAAAATAAACAACAATCATATTTTTAATATAGTGAGAAACGTGTTTTCAGTCAAACAGAGAAAGGTGAGTGATATTATTCTTTTAATCCACGTCCGAGGTTTACACTGTTCCTGCAGCAATACACAAATACGACTCCATACGATTTCAATTGAGCAAATTGCTTAGACCAAAGTCAGTTTGTCATACAACAAAACTGTTTATAGTAAATTTAACCACAGCTTCTAGGATCGAAAATAGGTCGATTTAAGTTAAAAATGGAAAGTAAAAAGATAGAGGGTGTTAAAGTAGTGATTTTGTGTTCTTACTTTAAAACGCCTTAACATATTCTTATGAAAATGTACATGGGGTATTAGTATACAGTGATCAATAAAATGTATATAGTTGCATTTAAATTTCTATAGATTTTAGAAGGGATCCCTACCTTTTTTAGACAATGAAATTCAGTTAAAAACGCCACAGAAAACCTATGTCTGTTTTGATTTTGATAATCCAGTGACACTTTAGGAACAGCACTATTAATTAGAACCCAACAGTTAATGTTCGAGTGGGGAATCCTATCTATGCATTAGAATTAAAATTTAATTTATTAAATTAAATTAAAATACCCTTCGACTTTAAAGTCATAATTTTAACCACTTAGCTAACCCACCCCATTCCTTCAATTATTCGTAACTTAAGAACCACACTGTACATTTTTTCATATTCACTCCATATAATATTTGTCCAATATGGTGGTGAGCAGCGTATAAATAAAAGTTGAAATCAGGGGTGGTTTCTTCATTGGTTAATTTGTTTAGTGAACACCATAGATAAATTAATATTAAAAGATAAACCGTTTAAATGCACGGCACTGGTACCAAGTGGTTAGTTCCGGCCATACTATTTGGAGCCACTATCGCAAATAAGATAAAAGCGATGTTGCCAGTTTCCATAAGCTTAAAGTTATTTCAGAGCTGGGTAATTCCTAGTTAAAAAATAATTAATAATTACAATTGCGTTTTTTCATGTAATTTGTAATTGTACTTAAGTACTTTTTTAAAGTAATTTGGAATTGTAATTGCAGCAAAATATGTGGAGGAATTGTACTTTGTAATTATATTAATTTATATTATTTAAATTGTCTAAATGTAATTACTTGTCATAAGTACAATTACTTTTCCAATTACAATTACTTTCCGATTACCATTACGTTTTCCAATTACGATTACATTTATGAGTACAATTACATTTTTTTAATTACAATTACTTTTAAATACGTGTTTATGAGATGCACGTGATATAAAAACAAGAAATTTCCTATTCAAATTGGTCACTAGAGATCGGAAATATAGTATGAAGTGGTGCAAATAGCAGTTTTTATGGGGTAAATACTAAAAATTACTTATTTACTTTGCGTGGGTGTTTCTAGTTATTGTTCTAGTTCTCTACATTTAAATGAAGGATTAACTATTTAATTAAACGTATTCTAAGTTATTTCAGCGTTACCAGTATTAGATTTTAACGTAGAAAATGGAATAGCACTTGTAACGGAATATAAATATATTTTATGTTATAAGAAATTATTTGATGTAAATCTATAACCAAATTTGAGTAAAATGTGTCCCATTTTTGTTTGTACGACCGGCCGTATCTTAGAATATCTTGAAACAGATTTTTTTTTTGAAAATAACGCAAAAATAGGTCGATTTTTATTTCAAGAGGGACACCTTTCTATAATATCCTCAACTGTCATATATCATTCCTTTCCCCTACGTCAATCTAACCAATACAATTTAAATAGGGAAAGTACCAAGTATGACACACCGTCAGAAAGGTAATTTTATGGGGAATTTAGCAATATGACTTCATTGCGTTCCTTTTAATTTTATCGCCCTCTAGCGGAATAAAGAATTATTACCTATGGTAAAGTGTGACACTTCATTTGAAAGGTAATTTTAAGGGTATGATATTTGAAAAATTGGTTTTAAACTTTTATGAAGTATCCCAACCTTAAACGACAAAAATAAAAAAGTATCACATAATTTTTGACGAAAGTTGATTACCGCACCGAATGTAAATAAAATGATAAGTGTTAACTATTTTATCTTCTTGATTAAACGGCCCCAGACTAATGATGCCCGATTTGTAAGGCATGATTAGGTAAAATATAAATGTACCTAAGCGTAGATAAACGAACTTTTGTATTTTTGTTCCAAATCAATAAACTTTTAAAAGTTCACATTTTATTATTAACTTATCTGTTCCATTTTGTATACTACTTATCTGTTCCATTTTGTATACTAGTTATCTATTTTGTTATTTCCCTTAAGTTAACAAGACCTTAAATGGTACAAAAAAATACATTTAGGGCTGGTTGTATAAATTGAGCTCAGTTTTTGGTGATACATGTCAATTTCCGATGCTACATGTGCAGTCTAATGTTTGGGGAAACAAGCCCTAAGTGCTAAATGGTGTTTAGACTGTACCTATGCCATACAAAATTTGTCACGTGTCACCTCAAACCAAGTTTAACTTTAAGTAAGATTTTTATAACCGCCCTTAAGATATCTTTACCTTTAAGGAATCCTTAAGTCGTTGCAAACGGCTGTAAGTTTGACACTTTGAATACCCTATTTAAAAATTTTATTTATACCGGTCCGGTTGGTTCATGGTTCCTTAATTCTATCATAATTTGTTATTACATCGACAAGTAATTAGCAAAGTAATTATAAAAGTAATTGCTAATTCATGTTTTCATGTAATTGTAATTAAATCAAAATAATTCCTATTTTTACAACATGTAATTTGTACTTGTAATTAATTCCTTTTTAAAAAAAGTACTTTGTAATTGTAATTATTTTTTAAGTACATGTAATTACCCAGCTCTGATTTCAAACGCACAAGCTGCACCTTATTTTATTTTTGTCGTACCATCCATAAAATGGCCATACTATTGCTGCTTTATTTTAAAGAAAGGTTTGACAACTCTATTAAAGAGGTCCTTTCACCACCAATGTTAAATAAAAAATATTAGATTATGATTAAAATTAATTTTTTTCTAATAGTAGAAGTCCTTATTTATCTAATAGTGAACTTTTAACTATACCTTACCGTGCAAATTTTTGAGAATTTTTTTTTTAAAAATGTGTGTGTTTGTACAGTGTCTTACGAGAAAGTAAGACTTTAACAACAATTTTCGAATTATAATTAATTTTACTATTATTTATTGATTAGATGGAGTAGAAAAAAACTAAAAATAAGGTTTTTGAAATATTTAGGTTTTGTTTGTTACAATAAAATATATAGGTTACCGTGGAATTTATTGAGAAATTAATATTAAAAAATCACAAAAAAATTTCAACTAGGTTACTTCAAATTTTTTTTTAATATTAGTTTCTCAATAAATTCCAAGGTAACCTATATATTTGATTGTAAAAAACAAAACCTAAATATTTCCAAAACCCTATTTTTAGTTTTTTTTACTCCATCTAATCAATAAATAATAATATAATTCGAGTATATTTGTTTAGGTCTTATTTTCTCATAAGACACTCTACAAATACTCACATTTAAAAAAAAAATCTCAAAAATTTGCACGGAAGGTATAGTTAAAAGTTCAACATTAGATAAATAAGGACAGAAAAAAAATAAATTTTAGTCATAATCTAATATTTTTAATATCCTTAATAACCTCGTAAAAAATAAAAAACAGAATGGAGGAAGGCGAAATGGTCGAAAAATCCCCAAAAACCATAATTAGGGGTACTGACTAATTCCGGGAGCAGTTTATCTGTTAGAATTATTTTTCGTTCTAAATGTTTTATGTATTTTTACAGGATTCATAATGAATTGTACACAGAGCAAAAGTTATGAAAATATGACGATTAGTCAAATATGAAATGTTGATAGTTAACAATTTATATAGTGGTAAAGTTGAAATATTTTATTAATTACTAGCGGACCCGACAGACGTTGTCCTGTCTTAACTATGAATATTGATTTCAAATTCGTATAACTAACTAAAAAAATATTTCAGAAAAAAAGTGTTTATTATTCTAATATTAGGCGTGATAGCTCTGAACTAACGGTGATGTGCACTAAGAAATTCAGTTAGAAATAAATTCATTATTTTATATGTATTTTATCAATATAATAACTCCGATCGAAGCATTTGTTTTAAACGATATTCATCTTTCGACAATATTTGCAGCACGCATTCTATCAATGTTATGTCAAACGCCATAAGGTTACATCAAAAAAGTTTGAATTGTAAAAGCGCTATGGTTACATTAGAAATAATTTAATATGGTGGTTAAGTATTCTTAAATTTTCTAATTTTCTGCGCAATTTTCTTAAATTTTTCTTTTATAAGAATATTCTCCTGACAATATCAAACACAACAAAAAAACAACTAGCGAAATTGGTCCAGCCGTTCACGCGTGATGCCGTAACCAAGGGAAATATGGATTCATTTTTATATATATCCTTAAATTTTCTAATTTTTCGCGCAATTTTCTTAATTTTTTCTTTGATAAGAACCTTCTACTGACAATAACAAACACAACAAAATAAGCGAAATTGGTCGAGCCGTTCACGCGTGATACCGTGACCAAGGGAATATGGATAAATTTTTATATATATCCTTGAATTTTCTAATTTTCCGCGCAATTTTCTTAATTTTTTCTTTTTTAAGAACCTTCACCTGATAATAACAAACACAAAAACAAAAGAATTAGCGGAATCGGGTCAGCCGTTCACACGTGATGCCGTAATCAAGGGAAATAGGGATTTATTTTTATATATATATTCTTAAATTTTCTAATTTTCCGCGCAATTTTCTTAATTTTTTCTTTCATAAGAACCTTCTCCTGACAATAACAAACAAAACAAAAACAAATTAGCGAAATTGGTCCAGCCGTTCATGCGTGATGCCGTGACCAAGGGAAATAGGGATTTATTTTTATATATATTCTTCAATTTTCTAA